TTTTTTTTTTTCTTGCGAAGTTTGCAGCTGTGAGCCTGTGGTGTGTGTAGTTGTTGTAATTATGAGCCTGTGGGTTTTGTTTTTTTGTTTTCACTTTTTTCAGTTGAGTTCCTTAATTTTGTTTTAGTTTATGATTTGGTTATAAGATTTGATCTTGAAGTTGTTTGATCTGAGAGGTTAGGCATTAAGGTTCAAGACTTAATTCTATTGGAATTTGGAATTAGGTTGCTGAGAATTTTGTGGATTTGATTGATTTGCTGATTTAATTGAGGTAGGAAAAAGGAAAGTCTTGAACTTTGAATTGGAACTGTTTATGCGAAAGTGACCCTGAAGTCGAGATTTTAGTGAGGAGAAAAGGGTATGACGGATCTAGACTGGGAAGTGATTATGTATTATTTGAAACTAAAATTTAGTTATCGCGGATCTTGACTGAGAATTGTGCGACCGATTTCTGCTAATTCATGAAAATGATGCATGCTTAAGGAAATAGAGACCGTCCTAACGTTGATAAGTCGGTCGGTGGGGTTACGTCATCAAGAGATAGAGACCGTTGGGCTCCATAAATTTGTATAATTTGCTTATGCATTTAATACGGCTTCCATTTTCAGGCCATGAAAGTGATTTTGGTACAGCAAAAGACATGATTGTTCATGCTTTATGTTGGAAAAGCTCGTACACTGAAAATGTTCTTTATCAATATTCAAATGAGCTTTGCAAAGAAATAAAATTATGTATCTGGTTTAAGGGTTCCATGATAGATATACTGAAGGATTGTTTTCTATGTCATATGAAAGTATTATAGTAAAAGTAGTCATAAATACATTATCTTAAAGCAAGATATCATCTTTAGCCAGAGCAGTCGTTTTCTCCTCTCCAATTTATATCCATTCCCTAGATTTGTTACTCCATTAGTGGCAATTGGTTTCTAAGTTAGTTATTGTTTTTATTTTTTATTTTTTCTCTCTTTTGGGTCTAACTTATGGAAAGGTTATACCGGTTTCCTTTAGATCGGGGTAATTCCTAATGTTCTATGATCAAGTTCTTTAAGACTTTCCTATCGGTATTCTTTTTCCATATATGCTCATTAATGTACTTTTATGAATGTGTATTTTCTTCTTCTCTAGCCTCAAGTGGAAGGAGAACAATTTTGTATAGGTTAATTTTTAATCTCTATCACATTCATATATGAAGTTTGGATTTCTACATTAGTAATAATGGTAATTGATTATGTGTCTGTATAAAATGGAGATTTATATTTTGTCCAGATGGGATACATCTTGGCCGACGAACTAACACTTTGTCTTTTGTAGCCCCTAAGGGCACGTTAATCAAGTTCTTTGAGAATACTAAGGGAGCATGCAATCCAAGCCGAAAAGTGATAAAGAAGCAGAGCCCAACCTCTATAATGTTTCTAACCCCTCGCTTTACCCTGATTCTTGGTGGAATAATGCTGGATTTAAATCCTTTAACCCGGCAATGATTAGGGGAAATGCGTCCGAGTCATCCTCTCGGGAACAATCTGCGGACGGGCAATCGCAGTCGGAAAGTGGTATAAATGAGGAAGATGATGATAATGCCAAACAGCCATCAAGCACCGTTCCTTTGCACCCAGGTATTGTACCTTTTCTTGAAATGAGTATTAAAAAAAAAGTTTGTTTCGTTTAAGACTCAGTTTCTGTGATCATGTTTTGCCTTCCGACAAGAAGTCGTGCTCTCTTCTGAGGGGACTCTGGAAATGATAAGTGATTTGAGATCCAATGTTTTTGTTGGGTCTTTATATTGCAACTAAAATTCATTTCCTGTTTCAGCTTCATGCATATATACAAAAATGTCCTGAATTAATTAATTAATTTTTTAATTAATTAACTGTTTTTATTATAATTTTTTTTTATTATTTTGAGGAATTTCGTGTGGTAAGTACACTAGTATGAGTGAGATTATTTCTTTTTTGCTTGCCCCTATTCTATGCCCGAAAAAGTGGTATTTCTTCATTGTCATTTGTCGTGCGCACCAGTGTTAGCTTGCCTTGATTGATAAAATGGTCAAGTCTCTTATAATGTGAGCCAGAAAATGTCCGAAGACCATCTGGGAGCATATAATGTTTCCTATTTTTGTCTGATAAAAAAGTTAAATGTTATTCATAAACCACCTTTGAGTTCAGACAGAAACTTCATGGGAGAGGATCTGAATCTCCAGCAAGTTCCACCTACCTTGCGCCCGAGAGATGACGGGAACGCGACTGAGCCCCCACAACTAAATCTCGTTGGGCACTCAGTTGTAAGAATGCCTGCAATTATGATATAATGCCTTAAGTATCTCTATTCTTGCTTCCTCTAATCAAGAGAGTTATTAGTGAACTAGTGTTTATAAGCTTCAAACGTTTTCAGGCTATTGGGATGAACCCTTTTGATCCCTACTACGGAGGCATGATGGCAGCTTATGGGCAGCCCTTGGTATGAAAATGAGTGTGAAGCTACTTTTTTTTATGCATGAATTTACCTTTTCTTTTCTTTTCTTCATCTCTGCCTCTTTCTCTCTTTTAAATGTCGGAAAATGAGGTCATCAACAAAGAGTAGATGTTGGGTGTGTTTATTGTAAAGAAATTGTAATGTTTCAACCAAGTATTGCGATTTATTGATTTATTTATTTATTGCTTTCATTATCAAGGTACCTCCTCATTTATATGATATGCAACAAGGGCGGGTCCCACTACACCTGGAGATGGCACAGGAGCCTGTCTACGTGAATGCCAAGCAGTACCATGGTATTATGAGGAGACGTCAGTCACGTGCTAAAGCCGAGCTGGAGAGAAAATTAATCAAATCCAGAAAGGTTTTTCTTCTTCATCTCATGTCCTGAAAGTTAGGATCTGTGCATGCTGCCATTTTTTATGATGGGCAAAACACCAGTCTCTCTTAACAACTACTTTTCAGTTATAATTTGCAGTTATTGGTGAAATATAGCTTCAGCTATATTGTAATTAGAACAAAGTGCAGGGGCATATTTGTGATTGAACTTTTTTCTTCCCCTTGTACACTTGTGGTGGTATTGTTGATGAGTAACTTTACTAAACTACAGCCTTATCTACACGAGTCCCGACATCAACACGCCCTGAGGAGGGAAAGGGGCTCGGGTGGGCGTTTTGCAAAGAAAACTAATAATGGAGATGCTTCTAAAGGTGGGACAAGTTCAGCCTCCAGTTCCTGTGGTGGTCCAAACATGGCTGAAACTCATGATCGATACAATGTCGATGTTGGTGGTCTTGGTAAACAAGCAGACTCGCACCAACCACCGCATCAGCCATAGCAAGATGGAGTGAGGGGCCCACTTGGGTTTGGAAGTTGAGAAACAATCACGCATCTAGCCATGTGCTTACAATAGAGTGAAACCCAGCCGACTCACTTGGTTTTTTCCAAGCTGGCTGGCAAGTCATCCTTGGCTTTCTACTACCTGTTAGGTTTTCTTTTTTCTGTTCTTTTCTTTTCTTTTGTTCACCGGGATGTTTTTGGTGGTTGTTGTTCTTTATGTACAGTTTTGCCTTTGGCTTTGATAAACACAGATTGTGTAGGATATAACCTAAGTCAGATCTGCTGGGAGGTGTATGTTGCTGTTTTTTTTACTGCCTTCATTGATTGCATTTTTTTCACTGCAAAAAAATGCGTGCACTTATAGAACAACAACAACATACCCAGTATATACCCAACTGGTTGGGGTTTGGTTGGCGTCTGAGAGGTCAATTGTACGCAGACTTTACCCTTGTAATTATACAAGAATGTTGTTTCCGTAGCTGACTTAAGGTGCATTGCATCGTTTGATATATTTTTTTCTAGAAACTTCATTAATAGAAGAAGCACTAAAATTTAATTGAGTCATTTTGATCTAGTCCATTATTAGAACTATGTTAGGAGAATTGTCAACAATGACTCTTCCAGCTCCATTTGCAATGGACAATCGTGCACTTATAGAACGATCGGTATAATTATACATAGAGAAAAAGACCCGACCGAAAAAATAAGAATACAAATAAAAATAAGAAAGAAAGAATTGAGTGAAGGTAAACCTATGTTAAGCCAAGTGCAAGAGACAATAAATATGAAAACGGCCAAGAAAGATTAACAGTAAGTAAATAAAACACGACAGAACGTACCTCCTCCTCCTCATGGTTTCGTTCGTCTCACAAAAAACTTATAAAGAGGTCAAAATAATAAGTAATATTTTGAAGTGTGGTCACAAGGTCACTGTAAGTATATATATTGTACGTCGAGCTATGTCAAGAAAAAAAGGAAAGAACAGCGATAAAAGCAAAGCACATAAGTGTTGGTTCAACATGTTAAAACCGATCTTTGATAGTTGTAATAAAGTACAAGATTCTACACCCATGATGGATAACCGCGACTGACATTATTCCGAGCAAAACAAGAACACGTGAAGAAAAGAAAAGAAAATATGAAAGCCGGTTTGTGGCCAAGAAGAATAACCACGACCGACTCTTCAATCCTATGGTGGTGCACATCATTTCCAGCTGTGCCGGTCAGTGATGATGATTGTGATCTGTGTCCCCTGCATTTCTCATCTCTTCTTCGGCCGTATTTTCAGCTCCACTATCTGTGACGTTCTTTGGATCCGTCACGTTACCCACATTCTGCTTCTCCATCATACCCGACAGAGCAAGCCTTGGGGACCACTCAAGAACATCGTCGATTATATTGGATACCCTCTTCTGGTACCTGTCAACAACAAATTTAGCTCTCAGCACTAATTACACCATAGAAGAACAACCCATCCATCTCATAAACACACACACAAAACCAAATCTCAAGCGTTCTCTTCGTTTTTTCCTTTAGAGGTTTTCAGTCCTCAGTTTTTCAATTATCAACCTCAAATTGTGTATGTATATAATATACCTGGCTCTAGCAGCTTCATCAGGAGCATGGTGCCTCAAAAGTATGATGACCAACACAGCCACCAATGCGTAAACCAACCGGGATGTCCACTTGGGTCGCCCGCCCTCATCCTTCTGTGGCCAAAACTGGAATAACTCTTTCAGTGTGGCCTCTTCTGCAAGTATGTTCGGGAAAAACCATACCCGTCTCCCAAGAACGATCCACAGAACTCCAAACACAAGGGCCCTCACTGCATGCAAATATCAATAAGCTCAAGAAAGAGTGCATATTTATACGGCGTACTCTTGTACGCTTCCAAATGAGATGCAGATATATTTTGGTCAAAGAAGTCAAAATAACTGATGATTTAAAAAATGGAAAATAAAATGTTTCAAAACAATTGACGCATTCGAGAGAAAGCCTTTGAATCATAGACCATGAGCTCTTAAACGTTTCACAAAGACTCGCATGCATCAGAATTATGGATTAGAAGATGAGCTATGTAATGAGCATTGAATAGTTTAAGCAAACTCACCTAGAAGGAGGCAGAGAATGAGAAGCAACACGCCAGCACAGAAGTAGAGTATAAAAAGCTTCACTTGGTGAGGATACACAGGAAACAAGCAGATTGCCAGAGTCAAAACGGGCCAGAAAAATGAGAGGAGAGTCTGCCATAATGGCCTTCGGTTCACAAAAGTCCACGCGAAAAACGCATCATTATCAGAGAACGCTTGATCCTGCATCATACAATTTATCCAAAATATTGTTATATATGCGCTGAGGCGGGGTCACTTAGCTTGACTCAAGAAAGCGCTTCAAATAAATTGGTTTAAACAGAAGATAAAAACAATGACTTAAACCTTAATCAACAACCAAAATATCCCACAAAATCCAGAGAAGAAAAAATTGTCCTCAATTCGTTGACAAAACAAGAAATAACTTACTGCAAATATCTCCAAATGCGCAGGCCATGTAGACAACTTTCTCTTCCCAGGCCGAACAGTTTTGACAACACGGTCACACCGCACTATTAGACTCTTTCTCAGCAGAATATTGGCAATATCATCAGTTTCTAAGTTCTTATCTTGTTCAAGCAGATCCTTCAGTTCTGGATGATTTTTCAAAAAACTGACAAGATCTTTTCCTCTAAAATATTCAACTCTCGTCTCCTGTAAGACAGCCCACCTAGATTCTAGATCCTTATGATTCCTAACTCTCTCAGCAAATATTTGGAAGACATCTCTTTTCGCAGCTTGCTTCTGAAATTCAGAATCTAAGGGTCAGTGAAGAGTAAATTTTAATCATTCACATCATACAAATAATAGCACAGAGCAATAGATTACAGTCATCAGTTCTGGTTTTTTGATAAAAAGAAAAAAGCTTGGCCTAATGCATACTGGGGTGCTTTTAGGTCCTCTTGTTAGCAGAGCCAAAAAAAAAAAAACTGATAGTTGTGATCTGATCCAGGACTAAAAGTTGGTTATATAGTTCTGGTTAATAATGCAATCCGTTGCAAGATGCTTGAGAAATGATTAAGAATCATTTTGCTGATTAATAACAAAAACAGAAACCAGAAACAAGGTAGAAACAAGATGGTATTCTTATCCAGAATATATGATATTTCAGCATAAAACACACCCCCTTTCAGAGGACTCTCCATTTATGTGCCCAAGTGCATGTAAAAAGTTCCACCATAACAATAAGGAATAGACAATGATCTAATAGCTTGCGAGAAAAGAGGAGCAAAGAGAATATGCAGATATCATGCTCCTTCAGGGGAAAACAACTGTGATTTGCCTAAGAACTTGTGACAACAAAACTGAAAGGATTTTTTTTTTTCTTTTCAAATATTAAACACATACGCACAACACAACAACAACATCATCAGCAATGCATACAACATCATCAACAACGCATGTTGACCTAAAATTCCCGCAAATGACTGAGAAGTAGAATCATATGTCCTCTTTATTTTTCTTTAAACTCACCCTTATACGAAATTGTTGAAACAGAATTGAAGAACTGATTAAACAAGGTGACTAAAGGAAAGAAGGAACAACAATTTGTTATGTGAATCACAAATCATTCTTAGCTCTTACATTGCACACGATCATTCTTTGGCAACAAATTATAATCCCCACACACAAAAAAAAAAGTTAAAGTGAATCCCTGATGAACATTATCAACACAAAGATTAACTAGGAATACCATGCTCACCCACCTACCCTAAGAAAGCATAGGAAAGTTCGAAATGTTCCTATGCCCTAAGTTCAAAATTGAGGCCAACCAATATACTTTCTGATGCTAAGAAACCGAAATGTTGCCGAATAGGGTTTCGAAAATTCAAATAATTCACAAAAAAGTCCTTGTCTTGATACCAAACAAATCTTCAAATCGCCATTGTTGATAAAATGAATTGCCCTCAAGTTCCGCACGACTGATCATCATACAGATAGCAATTTGCAAATGCAAGTATGAATAAATGAAGGGGGGTACGTGATGACATCTTCAAATCCGCATCTCCTTTGTGAAATAATGCCAATTTTTTTTTTCTCAGAACACTTGAGCATCCAAACAAAAACAATAACAATATCCCACAAATTAAATCATTTTAGGTGATAACAGCTATCACAGATCTCATTGGACAACGCCGGAGGATTAGCAAACACAAAATCCCCAAAAATCAATATCCCGACACCAAAACGCGTTCTCATATGTTCATAAATGCGAAGGTACGAAAGGGATGCACCAACCTTAGGAGCAGTATCGGTGACGGAGTCGGCGCGGCGGCCCTTCTTTTTATCGCCGGCAGCTCCGCCGCCGCCCCCTGATTTCTTCATTTCAAAATTCTCACTTATGCTTTTTTTTTTTTTTTT